GCTCATTCTAAAAATGTTCAGTTATATTTGAGCGGCAGCAATGATGTGCGATGGAAATAAAGTTGTTGAAAGTATATTTTAAGAAGTTAGTGTTGGAGAGTCATGCTTTGGCACCAGTGGGCTGGCTCGACCGTAGTGAGTCTCACAAAAAAACCAGCGTGGAACAATGACAGCGTTGTGCGTGAGTGAGGTAACCGAAGGCTTTAATCCTCCATGAGAGGGGGTCTCATCCCTTCCCTACGCCACAAATTTCCAAAACCCTTCATCCTCAAAAGGCCATGCAGCAACGTACTCACAACTTCTCCAATTTTGCGGGTGTCCAAGGACGGCGCCGGTTGCTCCATCAGGCAATCCGTCCACTGGTTTCCCCACGTAAAAAAGTAGTAATAAAATCTAACAAGAATTATACATTAAGTAGCTCAGTACTTGTTGCAGTCGTTAAACAAAATTAGTTTAAAAACTTTTAGGGTTTGTTGTAGCAGCTGTGAGAATGGACGATGCTTAGCTTAGAGCGGTCGTTGATGAACAAACATCAACGTTTAGGTTAATCTCTTGTAAACTTTACACTAGCACTGAGAAAACTCGAGTTCCATAAAAAGTGACCGAAAAATTGTTGTTTTATTCTACTGTTAAATAATGAAACAATGAAACAATTAATTTATTTTTGTAAATAGGCCATAACACAGCACTTTTACACGTCAAAATTATATATTAAAAAGTAGATGAAGCCGGCATTTCCTATCTGACTACTCTAAGAAGAAATGCCGAAACAAAGGTCCGAGGTCCGTCTCTTTTCAAGTCTAAACAATGTCAAAATTAATATAATGTGCGAAAACCGTGCTAGTTGATTCCGAAATAGTCTTTTGAGGAAAGAACCACAGCAGTTTAAGTGGGCCTGTTCTAAAGAAAGGCACGCAAGTGTCAGTTTACAACCAGTTAAACTAACGGGGTTAATTAGAGAAAGCACTCTCTATGTTTTGTCGAAAACCTATAGTAACACTGCACACTTTATTACTTTTTGACGCTTATTTGTACATGTTATAGACGTCATCGGAACATTATAATTATCGTCTAATCTTACTTATCGCGGGAGACCCATGCTTGGGTCGGTTGGACTGAATCGATTTACATTGATACCATGACCTCACAAAAACCGGCGTGACAAAAAGCTTTTGTTGGGTTCCACTGTGTTAATGAAGTTACAAGATGTTTTATCCGCCGCCCATTCTTTATCGCAAATCCTTAGCATGTCCTAAAAGGCCTGCAGTGAACTTGTAATTACTCTTGTGTTCTTAAATCGGTGCAAAGATACCGCTTTGAGCTGATTACCCGATACCAGATGTTTGCATATCTTATCTAAAAAAAATATATTATCAATATTAATGTCGTGACGTCTCAAACGATTAACAGACAAAAGCAATCACTGTTACTTTATTAAATATCGCCTAAATAACAAAGATTGACTGACGATTTTATGGATTAAATTAAATGGTTCTTCTAAATGAAAAATATACAAAAAGCTAAACAAGACGGAGTAATCCTGACATTTAGTATTAGCCGTGAAGACTCAGTACAAACCCTAATACAGTTAGTAAAAGTCTAGAGAAAGAGTTTGTTAGAACTTTATAATTCCCTCACGTATTTTGTAAGTTAATGTTTGATGAGGAAAATTTTCCAAAAGTGCCAGTTTTAGTTAGAAAACTGTTTCTATCCTGTAATGTTACACCTGTTTTTGTTTTAACTTTTTTCTAGAATTTATATGCAAGGTTTATTATACTATGATGCTGGCTAGTTTAATAAAAAGTCTAAGACGAACTGAAAATGGAAATAAAAAACAGATGGGGTGACAGTGAATATTACTTAACTTTTTTATTTAAATATTTATTTATTTATTTATTTATTTAAACTTTATGCAACAAAACATTACATAGGCGGACTTAATGCCGTAGGCATTCTCACCAGTCAACCTTAGGGTGATGCAGAGAGAGTATGGTAGGTGCAACAAGAAGAGAACTTTGAGACGATAAAAAGATTTAAAAATAATAAGAACACTAAAATAAATATATATATATGTAGAATATTATAATAATACTGGTATATGGTGGAAGATAAATAAAAAAAAATACTCAATACATACTCTATATACTTACATAACTAGTATACATACATATTGATTAGGTTAACGTAAAACATATTTTATGTACATCTATAATAAATCAATATTACGTTACAACTACACACAATTACAGTACATATAGTTTGATCATTACAATTAATAACAGTTGTATCAAATTAAATTTAATAAAACAACAGTTAAATAAAATAATCAATATTATTTTTAGATATGTAATGAAATGATAGAGATGATTTTATTTTAGGTTCACCAGGCGGTCGCGTTTGTGAGACAAATGCAAATACTATACGTAGTCAAGTAGTTTAAAATCTTTTTTTTTATATTTTAGTTTTAAAGTAGCTTATAGTCCAGCTTACATGGCTGAAGGTGATTTTCATACATCACGCTCTCGATATGCAGCGGTAAGACCCCTCTTTGAGGAGTGGCTTGAGAGACGCCACGGCGTCCTCACCTTCCGTCTGACGCAGGTGCTTACCGGGCACGGCAGCTTCGGTAGGTTCCTGTTTCGGATTCAGCGGGAGGAAACGCCCGAGTGTCGTCATTGTGAGGACCACCTAGAGGATACGGTGGAGCATACGGTAGCGGTATGCCCTGCCTGGGCTGAGCACCGCCGTATCCTCAGGGAAGTGATCGGCGGCGGCGACCTCTCGCGCCCGGCCTTAGTCGAGGCCATGGTGCGGAGTGAGAGGAACTGGGACGCCGTCTCCTCCTTTTGTGAAGCAGTCATGCTCGCAAAGAGAGAGGCGGCCCGCGTGAGGGAGCAATCCTCCTCCTCACGCCCCGGCAGCCGCAACTGGCGACACTACGGGCGTCGGGGATCGAGGGACGATCTCCGGCCACCGTAAGTACGGGCCTGCGGTCGGCGAGTAAGGGCAGCTCGCCGCCCGACCAGAACCAGGCCCGAGCGTACGGCGCGTAGCGTTCCGCGCGCGCCTCAAAGAGCCAATAGACCACCACAGACGGGGCCCTAAAGGGCTGATGTTCAGCCGGGGTTGCGGGGTAAGCGCAATGAGGTACCGCGACCTCGGCACATAGCAGGAGAAGGAACAGGGGGGTTTTTAGTCAGTAAGAGTCTGACACTCCCTCCTGCCCGGCCCTGGGCGGGAGAAGTCATTTGATGATTTTCCCCTCATAAAAAAAAAAAAAAAACGCTCTCGATATGGACTTAATTACTAAAAGTATTTTAGTAAAACATTATTAACTTTCATACAGTTTAGTAAAAGTGAAATCAGGATTTTTTAAATTGAAAAGGTTTTTTCTTAGGGAACTATTTCACGTCTCCATCCAGACAAGAAAATAGTTGCAAAGCTAGTCAATCTTTTTCGTTTCGTAAAGTTCTGAGCTGCACTAAGTTTTCAGCCAAAGATTGGGAACGTGACATTGTGCTCGAAAAGTCTGTATTGCATCCATCGATTTTCTGATTTTAAATATAGCTTCGTATCTAAATCTGTTTCTTGAATGGTTGGAAAGACATTTGTGACACGTTAGTGAGACCTGATCTTCGTTATAAATGGATTTCTTATTGTTTACAACCGTTATTGTTAATTTATAGAATCAGGCGTAACTTTGCGAAAATCCATGACATTAAATGTTAGGAAAAATACCAGACAAAAATCCAGCGACTTGTGACCGCGCGGGATTGCATCCTGCAACAAGCCTGGATTTTTGTCGCGGAATAAAAGCTAAATATTTTTCCTAACATTTAAAACCATTATTGTTTTCTATAGCTGTCTAATTTGGGAATGTTATCAACGTTTGGTGACTTAACTGTGACAGACATCCCAAGTTGCCAGTCAAGACTAAAGATTTGGGATATTTTTGCAAAATATTTACTCCACAAAAGAGCGGAATCAAGTTTTCTGTTTCCATTCACCAGCTCATTAGCCTTAGTGGCTGGATAACTAAATTAGTTTAAAGACAAATTAGAGTAGGTACCTAACATTTTTCGTTTACTTTTTGCTTCATATATTGCTCCCATATTATTGTAATAAATTCCAAGTCAATTTACAGACAGTAAAAAAAATAAGCAACGCGTTATTATTTTATTGCCATTTAAGTTTAATATTTTAGCTATGTCTAAAGTACATAAATGATTCGTAAGGTTTGTTTGAAACCTTGCATTGATCTTTTTAGTTAGGACAGTAATCTTACAACACATTTTACTCCAAACTACAATTTAAAAATAGCACATATCACCATACCTACAATTTAAAAATAGAATACCCTGTCCAACGGTTGTTTGTTTCCTAATTCCCAACTCAAAGAAATAAAATTTACCTCAGAATTAAAAATAGTGAAAGAACTGACCTCTATTAAAACAAAAGAAAGTAAACTTAACCGTTACCCTTATCAGCCATCGTTAATTCTTTTCTTATATCTCACATACGGGCGTCAGAAGCTAACCACTCTAATACCACGATATAAAACTTATTTTGCCAAACCACTAAAACGTACACTTAATGTCCCATTTCTTGGCAAAGTATTTCTCGTTTAGCTATCGGTATTTCAGAAGGTAATTTAGACTTTAGACACGCTTTAGGCAACCCGGATCTTAGCATAAAATGGTTCACAAAATAAAAAATGATGTATCTTTTTGATCAACCTTTTTTATTGCTGGTTTTAAGAGGGATACTTACACATCTTTACGATCTTCTTACTAAAGCCCTCTGTGAGGCAATTAACTAGTAGGTGTGCATTAGTAAACAAAAGGCTACTTATTCTTTGCGCTAATGGAACATTTTATGTTACTCGTCTCTAATAGCGGTATTTTACGTCATAATCTTACACTGGATAGCACTGAACTTATAAGTGTGTAGAGTCTAGTTATCTCGCCTCAATGTACTTATAAATTTTGTCGATGTTTTAGCATGACATTGGCGTTTTTTGCAAGCAATACGGAAATCTGCATATACATTTTAGGTGTGGAAACCAGCTTCTAGCGGTGAATCATGTTGCAATGAGTCACCGCGGCCTCGGCCCGGAGCAGGAGAAGGAACGAGGAGGTTTTAAGTCACTAAGAGTCTGACACTCTCTCTCGCCTAACTCGGCGGGAGAAGTCATTTGTTGTACCATGCTTTATGTATTTTTATTTTTAACTTTATTTTTATTATTTTGTTCGTTTTGTGTCTTTTATGCGTCCCAGACGCGAATAAATACTTTTTGTTTGTTTGCTTGTATTTGATGATTTTCCCCTGCCAAAAAAAAGCTGTGAATCATGTTGCTTTAAAGTATTGATTTAGTGTAATGAACACAATTTATTTATTTTTTCTAATGCCTAAGCAATATGTAAACAGCAAACATTAACTTGATACCCACATCTCGACAGTCCATTAATCTCCGAGTAACAAAGCTATAACACACAAAACCAACGCCAGACATCCTGCGGTCAAGCTCTGTAGCGAACAAGATTACGTGCTAACTTAGTACCGCCGGCTCTCGGACTAAGCCGATACCTGAGTCAAAACCACAGAGATCGCATTACCGCATCAATACAAACCATTTGTGACACTTGTATGTCTAACAGAATTATCTTCAAGGATCGTGGATAAACCGTGATTGGTTGTAAAACCAGCTAGCCGTTGTTTTTTATGGTATTAGACGGTAAACGAGCAGATGAATTACCTGATGGAAAGCAAGCAATCAGCGCCGTCCATGGAGACCCGCAACACCAAAGGAGTTATGAGTTCGTTGCTAGCCTTTTAGGGATAAGGGTTTCGGATATTTAAGGTTTGGGAAGAGTTGGGGATAGGGGGAGGGATTGGGCCTCCGGTAACTTCACTCACACAGCGAAACACAACACTGTGGTTGTTTCACGCCGGTTTTCTGTAAGGTCGTGTAAATAACTCAACCGTGCCAATGCTTGGCTCTCCCACACTCCAGCAGCAGTTTATTTAGCAAATATTTGTTTAAAAGTACAGGATAAACTACGCTTAGACTAAGTTTATAGGACAGGCTATTATTGGATAAATTATCAAATGATTGTTAATGCGCATATCCAATGGCGCTGAATGTGTCATAACACGAAAGTACATAATTTCTAAATGCCCCAACGGATTTCACGTGACTAATTAATTGACTGATTGAAAACGCGATTATAGATATTTCGATTCGCCTATCACTGTCAGCAAAATTAACAGATCTGGTGATTTATAATCAAATTAATCACATAATTTTGTCAGTGTCATTGACTTCATCACGTAGTAGTCAAAGGTTTTTAAAAATATTGTAACTTTAGCAGCCATTAACGATACTCACGCCATCTGTCGAACCAACTATAGAGATAACTTCCTAATCATCACTATAGAACCTTGATAGTCTACGAAACAATACGTTAACATAGACATAACTATAATGATAACGAGTGCACTCTCTCGCCATCACAGCCTTTCAAACTACGAACTACAATTTAAAACTTCAGCACATAAGACGTTTTACCTCAAACGCACGTTCACGCTAAGGCATTATAACCACTTACGACACTTTACTGGGGTAATTGCCGCACAAAGCGAGCGATGTCACACGCTACCAACTTTTAATTGCATTACTTTACCACCTAGTGGCTAGTGCTATACTTTAAAGGCCATTTATAAGTATCTACTGTTCTAGAAACGGCTTTGTCCGCATGGAATTCTAAAGATTTTTCTCGACTATGAATCTATAGGAAAACCAGAATGAAATGTTAATCGGAAATAAAGAAACATACATTTATTTTTATGCAAAAGTATAAAGTAACAAATGCATTGTATAGGGAAAAAATTAAAATGTTTTATCAAAAACACCAGTTCTGATCGGCTTTGTCTATCAGTTTTTCAATCTGTTTATCTCTTTCGGCATGTGCAATGCAAGTTCTTACCATAGTTTTCGTAAGGTCAGAGAAATGTAACCGAAATATTGGCAATACTAACTTTTTTTATAAGAATAAAAAAGGTACAATAAAAAGCGACGCAAATAACGAAACTTATTTAAAATTTTAACAAACCCATATTGTGTGGCCTATTTGTTATGTATGGATTTTTTTTCTTAGAAGAATAAGTTTGTAAGAAGTAAACAATGTATATATTAAAATAATCATTTTGAACCCTATTTAGTGCACATAAGCTTACAGTCAAATTTTAATGTTTTCTCTTTATAATATTAGTTTAGGAGAATTATATCTATCTATGAGCCACTACTATAACTTCAAGTACAATGGAAACTTTATAATAGGTTTTGTTTGAGTAAGTTCCGTTTATGATAGGTGTTTTATAAGGTATTGTGAATGGAGTATAGCAATATTTTATAGACCTGTATTGTATTTCGTTATAGAAAGGAAAACTTATAACTAAAAATAAAGAAATTACCTTCCTATATATTATGTTCACTGATAAAATTAAGATCATTTAAGTAATATTATAATTTTAGTTGTCAAATTACCAATTATGTGATTATAATATGTACGCGTCATTGCTATGACTAACACGGCCAATACCTAAGGCCCAATTCCAGATATCCATCGATCCTCAAATCTGTTACTACTAAAAGGCTGGCAACGCACTCGAAACTCCTTTGGTGTTACTGGTATCCTCGGGTGACACCGATTGTTTACCAAAAGGCGATACGCGTGCTCGTTTACATCCAATAAAGAAACATGTCTCTGAAATTAGAAAATATAAAAGAAATTAAAATAATGTCTTGCATTACTTCGCAAGAAAGGACTTGTTGGTTGCCAGTGGCTTTTAGCATTTTTTTTTTGGTTAAAAATAATAATGTTGCATTTAATAATTATTTTTTTTACTTCACCGTCAGTTATTTTACATCATCAGCTTATAAGTGCACACTGCTGATTAAAGGCCGGTTTTCACTCAAAGAAGGTTTGACCATTAATCACCAAAGTTGTCCAAAGCGGATTCTTTCATAACATAGAGTTTTGTATTTGCCAGGTTTCAAACTCCAACACCCTACATGCATGAAAAGCGGGCTATTTAACCTCCGGCCACCACGAGAACTATTTAAGAGTCATTTGCTTTAAAAAAAAAACTATAATTTGTTATTACAAAGTTTATTTTACTTTTCAATATAAACGGAAAAAAGGCTCAAATTTGCTTGATTTTTCTAGTAACTAAGGGTTTAATTTGTATTACAATTTTATTGTGGCAGTCAACTTGAGTGGCAAAACAAATTCTTTACACGTGCAAAAGACTAGCAAGTCTTTGAAGTAAATAGCTAAGTTTGGGCTATGAATATTCATGAGAAATATTATTTTTTTATCTCGCTTTTACTAAGTACTTGACATACTTACTAATTAAAAGTAAACAAAATATTTTGCCCGATATTTTTCTTTTTTATTTTGTTTGAAGTAAAAAAAGAAATATGTTTTGTTATAAGAATTATTTTTATTCGTATGGCTGGATAATTTACTATACTTATAGTAGGGCGAGTGGTGAATGGTGTCACATTCTTACTGACTAGCAACCATCGTGTTCCTTCTGCAGCTCTTGGCCGGGCCTCCGGTACATTACAGCACTTGCACCCGCATCCTTGACTAAAGATCAGCCCTACTGGGCCCCATCAATGGAACTTTGTGCTACCCGCCGTGAGCCACAAGCACGAATCTGGTTCTGGTCAGACAACGAGCTGTCTTTGCTCGCCGTTCGTAGACCTTCCATTATTTTCCTTTTTAACATTAAATGGTACTCATAACATATAATATTGTGCATTTTAAACAGAACAGCACAATATTGTTCCTTTTTTAATTACATGAAATCTTCAACAAAATTAATAATTATAATATGGCGATAAAGAACAGTGCAATCGTGGAATTACAATTGCAAATTAACGTAATAAAATCCGAATAAAGTATAAACCCTTTCCGCGGTTGTCTATTTATTCAAACTTATTATATATCGTAGGTACGACAAATAGTTATCTATAATAAATTGCCTTATTGCCATTCCCTAAATCTCCGAATTTGAATCTCAAACAGCCTAGAAATGCGGTTGTTCTTCTGCTTTTACGGGTGTCCATGGGCAGCGCCAATTGCCTACCATCAAGTTACCAGTTTTAGGGAGTCAAAGAAACGTTTGCTTTTATTTAGAAACTTTACAATTTTATTTACAATATTGTACACAGTAAAAAGTCATACGGTTCACTTGTCAATAAAATAGAGGTATACAAATAACGAGCCAATTATAAAAATATCCGAAGCAAAGGAAAATATTGCAAAGCTTTTTCAATATAAATATCCGGAACAACATTTTTATAAAAATATACATTGAACTTTTATTCATATTTAATTAAAAAGGATGAATAATTATTGTAAAAGATCCAAAATGATAAATATCATTTACATTTTACAGTGTTTATAAGAAAGGATTTAAAAATAATTTTATAGTAATATAACAATTATTATGTTAAAATTTCATTTGACGAGTAGAAGCGCTGATTAAAAATAATATCCAAAAAGCCTGACATGCTGGAGAGGTAGAGGAAGTTAAATATGGGCAGGTGCAACGATATATCGAAAAAAATATAATCGAGTCAATCCTTAAATAAATGTTCTAAAATATAAAACAAACTTGACAGAATCTCAACAAAAATTCAATTATCCAAAACCAAGTATTTGTTGTCTAGAACAAAGGAAACAAACAAGTTAGCTAGTCCAATTAAACTACACAACAAAGTTATTGGACCGGTCACAATTAACGTAGATCGTTAATTACGATCACTACTTAGGTACTGCTTTTGTAAGCAATTCCTTAACTTTCCAAAGCCGGCCTAATTCGAAGGGACTTACTATGAAGAAATGGGTCCTTTTGTGTCTCCTCATTGGAAAGTTACGTTGACATCAAGGCTGCGTATTCCGAGATAGACTTTGGAGGTGGTCTTTCTGTTCTAATACTAGAATAATGGCAATCAGATCAGAATTAAAGACAGGGTGTCTTTAATTTTATTATCCTCAAGATAAGGATTTTTTTTATTGGTTTCAATTGATTTGTGCGACAAGTTTAGAACATATTATTATTTATCGATTTAAAAAATTATGAAGAT